TGCCCATTTTTTTGTAGCTTCACTGTCCTTTTTTGTACCTCAGCTTAATTCTATGATGTGATATTTATTATTCTGATTTATTGGTTACTTATATTTAGGTACTGTTGATTCGATCAACGGTCTTGAAATTCTAATACTTCAATACTAAATTACATGCAAAAAAGGTGCAAAAATTGTAAAATTGAAGTTGGCATGAGATTTCTTTTAATAAATTGTTTTTGTGATTGCTATGATTGTTATCGTAGCAATGAATTATATTTTGGATAAGTCTGTTTCAGAGAAATCATTGTTTTGAACTATTCGGTTTGTTGGAAAAAAGCGCATTGCAAAATAGTCATCATGTCGTTTTTTGAAGTAACGATACTGTCAGTTTGATATTTTTGAGCTAATAATCAGAGTGCTAATTCACGATTTTCATCTTTATCTTATTCAGGATTTTTATCTCTCTTCTTTTGTTCCATATTCATTAGCGTTTTGGTGCGAATCAAATGTTACTGTTTGGTGAAACTTTGTATTTCAGCATTTCTTCATTTCTATGATCACTTTTTGTTTGGAAATGCTTTTTCCAATGAAATGGTATTTAACCATCCATTTTGCTATCTTTTTTCGTTGAAACACGATGATGATAAGGGAAACTAATATTTATTATCTTTACTGCACACTTTTTGCCGTTTGTTTTTTATCGATCGGTTTTTTTTAAATTCATATTTCTAACCTGACTTGTAAATGACGCAAACTTTTCTGATAGATGTTGTGCATAAGTCTCTGAATCGCTGTTCAATAACTATTCTCTTATTTTATATTTTTTCTCGTATTTTATTTTCTCATTAATGATAAGCATCGCTTTATCACATTGGATCCATTTTACTTTCTTCTTTTTGTTTCAGCAGTTTGAAGTTGAAATTTTTATTTCCAATGCCTAACATTTTCTATTTGAATAAATATTTTATAATATGTGAAATATTTTTTTCTAAAAAAAAGTTTACAAAAATTTTTCGAATTATGAGCAATGATGTCATTATCAGCGAAAGCATCGCTTTGCAGGTGTAACAATTATTAACAGTTAGCTTTCATGAAATGTTAACCTTTTAGGCTTATCTATTAAACTAGAATACTGAAAATGCGATGATGTGATTTTTTAGTCTATTCCAATTTTTTTCATCTATTCGACAAATAAAATTTGCAGATAAATCTATAAGTAGCATCCCTCCGATGTTGTAAAAATCCAATTCCAAATGTCTGGAATGTTAATGACAACATATATTGTTTTTATTTTTGGGCAGTTCGTTCAAATCCTGCCCCAACAGTTTAAAAATACTGCAGCGATTTGCTTTCTATTTAGAATATTAAAGTTTCAAATCCTATTTAACAAATGATAGGAAAAAATATGGAGTGATACGCTTCATAAACATCACTTCTTTTTTTAATCATTTTACTAATTTTTCTACCTTTGAAAAGGTAATACTGTTTTATTACTTCAGTTCACTTGAAAGAATATTCATTCTTGAATAGAGACTTTGTGCGGATCACTTTGCTGAGTAGAAGAGACACATTATACTTTCATGAAATGAAGTGAAGAAATATTAGTATCTTCGATACTAATATATTAGTACCGAAGATACTAATATTTCTTCATTTCATTTCATGAAATTCCGCAAGAACAAAACAATTCAGAAAAAGATTTTTTTTATCTATAAATATTTTTACATTGAATAAGAGGCACTTCAATGTTACAGTCACAGCTTTCAAGCTTTTTTTTTGATTTCTGTAATTAAAAAATGTGAATTTAGTATCATGCAAGCAAGTTGGAAATTATACATCTCCTTTTGCAGTACAATTGGATTCTTACGATTATAGTGATAATCTATCACTAAAAAAATTTATCAATCCATTGAACTTCTTTTTTTGCAACTTTTGCATTAATTTATAAATGAAAAATCGAGTTTTGAGAAAATGTAATAAGCTTAAGAAGTCATCGGTCATTAATGAAACTAATCAATTTTATTTGGTAAGATTTTAAGTTTTTTGATAGAAGTTCCTCTGCCAACATAATTTTAATTTGGCCATATGCGAAGATAAGATGAAATTTGGATTGCTTTTAAAAAGTACGATGGCGCATATCGAAATACTAATTATTGGTTAACTCTCAATACCTGTTAATTCACTTCCCGGTAAGGTTTTCCTTCTCAAGGAGTTGATAATTGGATTTAAATCGTCAGAGACCAATACTATTGAAATATTAGTAATCATTCCTTATGGAGATATATCCATATTCTTTTTTCACGAAGTTTAAATGCAAATATTTGATGGTGCATACTGAAATACTCTGCTCGTTTTTTTTTTTTTTTTAAAAATTGAAAGTTTTTTTTTTCACGGTACAAAATAATCACAGTCAAGAATTCATATCTGCTAACTTTCAGAATCCGAAATTTTGAAGAAATATAATGATTTAGTTTAGTTTAGTAGTGTGAATTATTCAGAAGTTTTACAAAACAAAGTTTTTTTGCATTTGTTTAATAATTGTTTCGAAACGGTGGTTCCAAAGCATGACATATTCATTTTAGAATTATGAAAATTGAAAAATATCTTGCGAAAATGCATTTCTTTGATTTACTCATTTATTAAACGGTTGCTTTCCATTTTTGTTCGTTCCTTAACGAAAGCTCTCGGTAAGCTCCCTTTTTTCAATTTAAAAATTCAATCCATTAAATCCATTAAATTTCTCATTTCAAGAGCTCTTTACTGTTTGACAATTAACGACAGAGATACCACACCCCTTAAAGGGATCACATCGCCATCAGTCTCAAAAAATCTCGATAAAAAGAATATCCCGAAATTTTACAGGACGAACAACGCCTGAATGTAGTTCACCATTTTCCAAACTCGCTATTCCTCCGTTTCTCTGCACCTTTCCTTTTCGTCCAGGCAAAAAATATTTTCGCACAATCACTTGACCTTCGTTAGCAGCACTATTGTTTGGCGTTAATGGGCCTTCTTAAGTGATTCATACAACTCCCGCAATAAGAACCACGCTCACCTGAGAATACTGATTATACTGGGAAGATTACTTCTCTAATTCGAGATATAAGGGGTAGGATGAAAAAATTTAGAGACTGTTGACAATGAAGAGTGCATAGTGTAGGGTTCGAGAAATGCACAAAAATAGTATTGTGATATAAATAATGTGTCTAGGGGTAGAAAGTTAGTAAGGAAAATTTTCGAGATTGCTTACGGAAAATTGAGGCTCGGATTTGGGTCGCAAATAATTAGTTCATTGTGGATCCTTCCAGAAAAATCGGTTTCTTTTTTTTTGTAAATTTATTTATATGATTTAAATATTCCCAAAATTTCAAGCTAAGTACTAGAGTTTTTTATCCGTTAAAGAACATGGATGTATCCAACATAGTTCTAGTATCTTTTTTTTCCATAAATACCTATCGAAATAGCTGATATTACATCTTCTTTGAGTATGCGTCAATGGAATCAACAGAATTTATTGATAAAATAAAATATGTGGCTGAAAGATTTTTGTTCTCACAGTTTCTGTATAATTCTAAATATTCCAGATTACATTAAATTCCGGTGTAGTGCTTCTTCAACATTTTTTTTGTTAATTCCGTACAATTTCCTTCATAATGTTGGACAGAGAGGAGGAAGTTGGAATGCAGAAAACAAATGTGGAAGGAGCTCTCTCAAATTGCTGTGCTACCCATTCGCAGGTTTGTCTTTTTGTCTTTACAAATGAACACTTACCGGTCATTCCATATAACGCACTTTTACTAAGCGATTTCTTCACATGATTGTGTATTAATTCTAAAAAAAAGTCAATAACCTTAACTTTTCAATCATTTCGTTCAACTTTGCCAATCGATGAAGAAAGAAAATGACTCTTTATATACATCACTCTTTTCATTAGAGTTATAATCGTTCTCTCATCGAAGGTTTGATAAGAACGATTCATTTTTGATCTCTTATTTGTTTTTAACATCCTCTAGCATGATATGATATTAAAATTTGGTGCATACATTAGTATATTGTTTTTTCTTAAGCCCTGTTTTTTTTTTTTTTTATAACGAAATGAAAAATGTGAATTTTATTTTCCAAAAATAAATGCTTTTTTTTTTGTTCTATGTAGGACGAAATTTTTCACAATACTATTCGTCATTCAATCTATGGAAAACTAACTTGCAAATCGTCCATACTGTATATACATCTGTTTTCATTTTTGTCACTTGTATTAATGGTTTATGTTTCCGACTTACCTTTCATTTGCAGGAATGCCAATTGTATAGCACTTGTTCATCTGCACTGCAATTAGAAAAGAAAGCGATTAAATTTTCTTCGTGCGACAAATGTACTATTTTTTTCTTTACACTTATGAAATCATTTAATTTCTGAATACTTATTTACTTTTTAATTTCAAAAAAAAATGCATAATTGTTTTTTGGTGAAGTGATTCCTTGTCCAATTCCATATTTCTTATTTTTCACATTTGATTTTTGCAAGTACAGCTGTTAATTTTCTGACAACATATTCGAATTCTTACAAAAATACGCTTAATACGCAGCCCGGTAATACCTGTCAGGACACTTAATTAAATTTTGATCATGTTTCTTTTCAGCTAATACAGAATCGACATGTGCATCATCAGAGGAGGAACCAGTTGCTCCAGACGGTGGCTACGGATGGGTCATTGTTCTTGCGTCTTTCCTTATCCATTTTATTTGTGATGGTATGCATATCACTTTCCAAATCATTCTGTTATGCGAAGTTGTTTTCTAGTAATTTAATGAGATTTTTATATCTCCAACAGTAGAACTACGGCTGAAAACATCCATGCATTTAATCAGTTTTTGTTTTAATCTCTCGCTTGAAATTATGGACCATTTATTTAAATTTATGTGATTTTCATGAAATTTAGAATACGTTAAGTATTTCATTGTTATTGGTTAGTTTGAGGTTAATGCGCACAGATTTTATTTAAAAAGAACCTAAAACAATTACAGTCAGTTTTCCAAAATTTTATCAACATTTTTCAGGGATTTCATTTTCATTTGGCATTATGTTTTCCGAGATTCAAGAATACTTCAATGTATCAAAAACAATGTCTGGTATTGTTGGGTCAATTTTTTTATCAATGCCTTTATTGTCAGGGCCGCTTGCTGGAGCATTAACCGATATATATGATTGTCGGTGTGTATTTCTCATGGTTACACTTTCAGTATTTGAAATCTTAAATGCGCTATATATCTGCATTAGGGATTAGATGTTTTGCATTGTTTTGAAGATATATTCATTTACCTTTGAAGTAAATATTCTTTTAGACGTATGACAATTGTTGGTGGCTTGATAGCAGCTGGTGGCGGATTGATATCCTTTTTCGCCTTTAGTATTTGGCATTTTTTGCTTTCATTTGCCTTCATTACGGGCATTGGCTTAAGCTTTTGCTTTAATAGCGCTATTGTTGCAGTTACTTATTATTTTCAAGTACAGTTGTTTTTTTTTTTAGATCATTTCAGGTTCCATTTTTGAAAATAAAGCGTTAGTATATTCTTAATAACGACACTCATCTAATTCTTTATTTCTTTTAAAGAAAAAAAGAGCCATTGCAACGGGTATTGCTGTCTGCGGTTCTGGCGCCGGTACTTTTGTTCTTGCACCACTCATCGAAATGGTCAGTTTAACCTTGTTTGAACAATTTTAAATTAGTGTATTAATTTTGCTTGCTTGGATTTCCAGTGTTTTATTCATATATTCAATTTTTGTTCTGTCTTCCTGAGATAATGAATGACTTTCAAGGTATTTTTTTTTGTTTAGCTGTTCGCAAAGTTTGGTTGGCATTCTTCTCTTCTTTGTATGGGATTCCTTTTACTCCTTATTGTTGGTTGTGGTTTTATGATTAAGGTGAATTTTCGTTTTTTGTTTTATTACTAATAATATATCGAATAGATTTGTGAAAAGCCATTGAATTGTTGTTCATTTAAAGTTGTGAAGTTCAGGAAAATTTTTTTCTATCAAATACAGCTTGGATCTGATGTTTCGAATCTACAGACTGCTTACTCAGGATAGACAGAACATATTTTTAAATGATTTAAGCATGCTGCATGGTCAAATTGAAAGGATGGTAGCTAAAGCCGGAGTAATTCTAGCAGTCTAATTTGGCTTGAAACTTTACTTCAGGATCTAGAGTGGCCTCATGATACTATAGAATACAAGAGAAAAAAATTCATTGAAAAAACTGAACGTGAAAAGTTACGGTTAGCTATGTGGAATGCTGGTAATAATTCCGGTGTCTTTACCGTTAGTTTCAATTATCAGATTATGCTGACATTAATATAAATTTTTGCCCTGATTTTGTATTTTTTTTAGAATTTTTGGTCTGTTTCTATCAAAAGATTTATAATTCTATGGATAAAAGACTACTGCTTACTGTGAGCTAGTAACAGTATAAAGTCTCAAAGTTTTTTTAAGGTGGATTCTTCATATATTGATTCGGTTCCTCGCCGTACCGTATCATTGCCTTCGATACCGACGTATGCAATACCCTTTCTGCAAGTTGTTCATCAGTCTTCAAATACACAATCGGTAAATTTGTGACGTAACTTGTGATGTAAGGCAGAAGCTATAGATGCAGAAACATTGGTACCTAATTTATCCAAGAAAGATTGAAACCAGCAGGCTTGTTTAGAAATCCAGTACAAGATATTAGCTGAGAACTTATTCTACATAGTCATTATTTAGAAACTAATAGTTATCTTATCCATTTTTTCTTAGGTAAAAACAGCTGTAAATGAATTGCAAATACCGGTGCCAAAAAGTTACAGTATGGCTGAATTTTTGCATGATCCAGGAAATGACATAACGAAACAGCAGACACTTACTTTTGATGTTAACTCTAGTGGACAGCTTAATTTGGTAAGTGTCATTTATGTTACATGTTTTAATTCCGATACTAAATGTCTTCTTAAATCCAATAATTCAGTAAAATTTCTTTCTCAAAAAATGAATCAGTAATACCGTTCTTCATTGTTTTGGAGATCGCTATGGTATATATCTAACATTTCTCTTAAGTATAGAGGGTGCACGATGTCGAAATTGTTGCATCATCAGAATCATCTCGTCAGACTTGCTCTGAGGGAAGTTGTTACGCAGAAACTGACGATTTAACATCTAACCAAGGGTCTGAAGTAGATATTAAATTTTCAAGGAAAACCTTCAGGTATTCTCTTTTCATCATATTATTTATGTTTTCCAACTAGAAATATTTAGAACTATGGTTTTTCTTATTTTTACAATTCGGAATGCTTTGCTTTTACTTACATTATTCCAGATTCGATAGTAGAAGAAGAATCTTTTTAGTGTTTGACGGTGATTTCTGAGCAAATTCTTAACACTTACATCTGTATGGCATCATAATTGTTTCAGTGATAGTGGCGATAACAGTTTGAATGACATAGTCGGTAGCGGACAAAGCGAGCTTATTCCTGCAAAACTTGTAAATGTTTATTAACATTGAATTAAAGACAGAGACGATCAGTTGAATTATTCTGACTAATATATTTTCTAAACTGAGCAGTTTTGAAAACATACACTTTCCATCTAGCTGAATAGTGTAGTGAATGATTAAATTTCAGTTTTTGAAGATCTGAGTTTGTATTTTTTAAAACATTACATTTATTCTACATGGTAGAGTTTATATATTTTTTAATATGTCAGGAACGGGCAGGGAACTGTAATTTTGTACAGGATGCCACAAAACAACCGTTGTTAGACGACGACATTAAGAGAGGAAAATCGGCTACGCAAATACTTAAAACCTGTATGTCTGTTGTTATATTATCAAAGAAGTATCAAATTATTATCAAAGAAGTCAAACATTTACATATTTCCTAAACTTATTCAGCGATATGAGAACTAGTTTAAAATTTAAATAAGAATTAGGTATTAGGAAATTCAGTTTGAAACTGATGCAATATATTGATGCTATATCTACAAAGGATTTAATTTCGAATATTTATAAATGTGTTGAACACTACCGTATTAGCGAAAGAAAGTAATAACTGATAGGATTTTAGGATTAACTGATGAGAAAGGTTGGTGCTTTTTGCAGCTGATGTTATTATTTCTTCTTTTGCAAACCGCACTACTTGCAATTCATTTATTATGAATCAACTGGGTGCAGCACAAGGACGAGTACCCGCAACTAATGTGTTAAATTTTCGATGGAAATTTATGTCACTCGATGTTGGTATGTCCCGACGAATACCTTCTGCTCCTGCTATTTGTTATCGCAGAAAACGAAGATCAGGAACAATTCAGTTGAATAAAGTAAGGTTTTCTTTTTTAATATTTGCAAAATGCAGTCTTTAGTTAATCTTTATTTTTGTTAAAGTTCATTTAAACAGTTATGTTTCTTGAGATACAACCGCAAGATTTCGTTGGCAATAATTTAATACCATTCGATTTGTAAACTTCGAAGAATTATTGAAATCTGAAAATATATTTAGATGTGGAAATCATTTCTGGAATGGCTTTCTAATACGAAAATGGTATTGATAATTCCTGAGTTTTCTATTTTCCTGTTAAGTACATTCATTCTCTATGTATTCTTTGATATACCGTACGTCAACTTTCCTGAATATGCAGTGGAAGTTCATAATATTACCGAAACTAAAGCGTCGTATCTTGTATCTAGCATTGGTCTTACAAACATGGTTAGCATGTTGTTTTGTGGAATTGTCGCCGATTGGAGTCGAACAAGTGGAGTAAGATTATTTGCACATAAATCTTTAATGCTTATATATCTTTTTGAACATTTCATCTGATTAGTGTAGACCTTTAAATTATGATTTCATTTTTAACAGTTTACTGTCCAAGATTTCGAAGTTGTCATGATTATCTTTTTTCAGTATGTCATTCAAATGTATGGAATATTTATAACTTTAGCGGGTTTATGTGTAGCTCTTACACCGTTTGCTACTTCTTATATTCACTTAATGGCACTTTGCATTGGTTTTGGTTTCTTCATTAGTGCGAACTACACCTTAGCATCCGTGATTACTCTTCAAATCCTTTGTTTGTATGATTTTCAAACCGGTTATGGAATTCTCTGTCTTGTGGAAGGCCTTGGAAATCTTCTCGGTCCAGCATTAATCGGTAAGGTTGAATTGTAGCTTAATCTTTTCTAGTGAAACAAATAAAAGTGTCCTCAATTTTTTAATCAATTACTTTTCCTATTGGAATTCTCTATTTTCTAGGAAGAAAAAATATATGTTATACACGTCTTATTTTTATATAGGGGAAGTGGTTTTTAGGTTTTATTCGCGACAATTTGACCGGTTACGATAACATATTCTTGCTAGCTGGAGGAGGTGTGGTGATTTCTGGTCTTATGGTTGTAGCTATTGATATATTTATGCGTACATGTGATATTGATCATGAAAAGAAACATTCGATAAAACGTGAAAGGTGATTTAATTATTTCTACCCAAAATAAAGTGAATTTGCTAAGCAAAATAGGTTATATAAACCGCATAGCAGATGTTTGTTTTGCTTGTGTCTGTTGTTTGAACAACGTAGTTTCTTTAAGCAAATTCAATAAAAGGAATTAAGGAAAAGAAATGAATAACTGATTACTGGTCAATATTTGTCACTGTCAATATTTTCCATCTTCTGCGATGCCGCTAGGCTTCATTTCGTTTTTTAATCCGCTTTAGCGCATATTTTTCTAACTTTTTTGCAATCACAATGTTGGATAAGACTTTTTACAGAAATCATCTATTAAGGAATAGAAAAGATTTAAACGATCTTTCCTGCTTTTTTTATTTCAGTTAGTGGTTATTAATATTATTTATCCATTATTACAATTTATCAAATCTGAAAATGACAATGGATTTTCTTAGTGTTTACAAGGCTCATCATATATTCCGCTTAATATTATGGTATTGGTTACAGATATAATGGAGATGGGGCAGTCTGTATTAAGACGGTGAAAAACGGTGCAGTCTGTTTTGAGACGGTGAAAGACGGTGCAGCCTGTATTAAGATGGTGAAAAACGGTGCAGTCTGTAGTTCTCATCATGTGTTCGTCAACGTACCCTAAAAGGAGAGGATTTGAGGAAATTGAAAATTGATTACTGCAAGAGTTTCCACCTTAAATTCGTGCTTTCATTTTTAGTTCTCGGAGAAGAGAATTGTTTATATTGTTTTATTGTTTCGCCTTTAACTTAACTACGAGTAAATTTGAAAGGCATTTTAAGGATTCATTGTATTTATTTGTGCATGTGTCACCACTTCATCAAATAGATTAATGCACTGAATTGATCGATTTTAAAATTTCATTCCTTTATTTGCGGGTATTCCTTGTGATGTTGGATATTTTATCCGAATATTCCAAATAAGTGGTCAAACTGTTTCATTCATTTTTAATATAAAAGGGTCTCTTTTTTTATTTTCTCTTTGCTCTATGAATGTAAAATCTTTTGTGTGTGATGCATGATCTAATGTAATGCAGGGAACAATGGTAATAACACCATTATTGAATTTTAATCTACAGGTACTTTCCCTTTTAACTTTTTCCACCAATTTTCTATCTGTTTAAGCATTTAATTTGAACTAATAAGTCTCATTATTTTAGTTTTTTAAGTTTTAACAAGTTTTAACTGTTTGCAGAAGATTCGATCTTTTGTATAAAAGTCTTACTTCCTTTTGTCTGACTTTCTTTTTGTCACAACTTTTTAAATATTTTTTGCCTTTTATACACAAAAACCATATATCGTGCTTTTACTGTTGTCGTTTCTACTAATGCAGCTTTGCGGTTTTTCAAAAGAACAATTTTCCAATTATATATATGTATGTATATACGCAAATTTTGTACTCGGTATATTACAACTTTCATCCATCTTTTGTTTTGAACTTACATTTTTAACATTGAACAGTATAGGAGGCACACTGCTGATGGAATCTCATTTTGTCAGGGTAGGAGTCTGCTTTATACTTGGATTATACCTCGGTAGTACATTTTACATTTTTTTAAAGTTCATTTGTCTAACTGCATGCATTTTTTTTGTCGAATGATTGGAGTATATATGGGTTCAAATGGGAGGCTTATATTTATGGGCCTATATTATACCTCTTCTGTCCGGGGTCTTTTGTCCTTTCTGCATGAATTATAAAGTTATAAAATTATTTAAACATCTCCGATGTTTTCGTCAAACTCTGGAATTGAGTCTGCTTATATGCATGTATTTTATACACATAATTTTAAAAGCATTTATTCCAAAATGATTGGCGAAAAGTGGCTATAAAAAAGGAGTCACTGTCGCTATAAATATTTTATTCCTTTTTTTTTAGATTTATACATTCATAAACTCATCTTGTTGCATTTGAGAAAAAGCGACAAGTTTCTCTCTTATGCGATACACGTTTATTTTTTCTTCTTAATCAATTGCAATTCAATAATTAACCAACTAGCAGTCAGTTGTTGAGTTTAAACAGTAAAAAAAATGCTTGCGGATTAACTATATGTGGATTGACGGATATGACTTAGTCTTAATTTGATGCTTGTGATCAATATTTTAATGAACTTTAAATCCTTTGTAATTGCTGTTTACTATTTCTTATGGAAAACTTTCGAGCAAAACTTTATTCTTCGGAAAAATTCCAGCTGGAAAAAAAGATGGAGCAGTGACTGGCTCACATTGAAAAGTGATAATCATTTTTGATAAGGTGTATCAGAGATAATATGACGTCTTCTGCAGCAATTGATAGTTTGCAATAGTTGACTCAATTTCTGATAGGTTTTTGTCAATTACTTCCTTGAACCTCTTCCATCAAGACCCTGTGGACAGCTGAAACTTTTTGCGAGGACCTGCAAGTATGCATTTTTGATGCTTAGCATGCAATAAGTCTTTTTTTTGATTTCCTATTAAATCAAGGTTTCTGTGTACTGTACACATATATATTTGTATAATAAGGTGAATTCATGTGCAATTATATTTTTAAATCCTATTGTAATGAAAATTTTAAGAACAATAAAGCAAAGTTTTCATGAGGCGTATAATTGCATAAATTCAATTTGAAGAAACATCTAAAAAAATTGTACTTATTAAAGATAATTAGGGATTACTTCGTTCACATATGAAACGTCTGATTTTTCTGTACAGCTCTGAAGTAAGACAATCGCTTGTTCGCGGAGTTGGTGGAGTCTGCAAGTTAATTCATAACACTGGAAAAAAGAAAGTAAAAATATTGCTGACGCTTATATAATCTATATGTTTAATTAAAGGTGTTCGATAGTAATAGCGAGTTTCTTGCACTCTCTCCTTAACTAAGCGAAATAAAATACTTCGGTCTAAAAATACACACTGTGATTTAAGACGAACTTGTAATACTCGGCCTCTTGTGTTAGAAGGGCTAAACGATCTGGATCTTTTGGTAAGCATGCTTCCCATAATTGCTTCGTAGATTTCAAACGCAAGTAATTCAAGATTATTCCAAAACTGAAATATCTGTCATTTTTATATAGTAGTCACTAAATTAGAAGAAAATTGAGAGAACTGACGATTAGTTTGATTATTTGGTTCATAAACATTTTTATCGAGTGCACTTCATTATGACGATCTCTTACATTATACGGCAGAAATGGAAGTGTTGAAATTTGTAATTTTACCTGATTGGATCTCGATCAATAAAATACGCCCCCTTGTTGTCTTTTTCTAACGGCGGTTTTGCAGTTTCTCCAATGAACCACTAATTAAAAAGTTGCATTTGTATTTGATTTTTTGAAATTTTAAAACTTCCATCACGATATAACAGGCTAGATGAAATTGACATTCTAAAGTTACAGAATAAACCATTTTAGTGTTGCAGTCACATTACAGTTTTAGAGTACATAGTGCGCTAAATCACTGGACATTCGTGATAACAGTTTTCACAAAAGGAAAGAAATATGTGAAAATGAAGCCAACCTGATTGAATAGAGATTGCTTCTCCTGCAACAATGTATTTGCGGTTGTGGAATACTTCTGACCGCCAACATTGAAGTTGAGTATAACCATTTGAAGTTAAGCAATCGGAAAAAGAAATTAATTGCACTATAGTACAATCATAATTTTTTGTTAAAGTTAAAGTATTACGAAGAGGCAAAAAATTGAATGCACATCATATCCCGCAACTTTCGATCAAAAACGATCTAGAGATTAACATTCAACTTAACGGATTATTCACTAAATCTAAAAATAACCAACGTCCTTGGAAAAAAACATCAACTAAAAAATTTTTACCTATTGGATCCAATATAAGCCTTTATTTTGTGCACCATTACATTGTAACAACCATTATTTACAAAATTCGTCTAAAAAAGTGAAAGAAACGTTTTAAATGAAATGCGGTTAGATTATATCAAATAACTGGCATAAATAAGATTTCTGGAAGAGTTTGGCTTCTCAAAATTAAACAGACAAGACGATATATTTTTATAAATTTTTTAATTTTAAATTTCGGAATACGAAAAAAGTCATGGAAGAAGGAATAATTTTATGAGATTTTTAGATGAAAGAAAAAATCGAATAAATCAAAAAGCTAAAAAGATTGAGATTGAAGAAGAAATTATAACGAATAAGGAAAGATATTAAGGGAGCAGGAATCTCTGAATACTTATTATTATAATCAAACTGTAAAACTGAGACAGAAAACTTTCTGTTAAAATGAAAAGCAGTTACAAACCATATTCTCATGGATCTAAATCAAGATTGGAAAAAAGCTATATCTGAATGCTACATGTACTTGCTGCATGAAAATTAATGAGAGATAGATAAGAGTTGAATCATTTAGGTTTAAAAAGTTCCTAATAAGGAAATTGCTTGTTTTTTTGTTTTCCTACTACAGGAAAGGGACAGGTATGGTTGAGGCCGCATAACATCTGGAAATAGCAATTTGTCTGGATTCAGCAGTGTTCACTCTTACCATCCTATCCAGTTTACACGTCCTATCTCAAACGCTCACTTCCACAATTGCACACATGTGTGTGTGTGTCTGTGTGGGTGTGGGTGTGTGTGTGTACACACTTGGATAGCGAGCCAAGCAGACAGGCATGACTATATCGATCATCAATTCCGAGATGGAGAATTGCTCTCGTAAAATGTTATCTTCAACTCCATACTTGCCACTTCCATATTCAACATATTTAATGTTTAGAATAATATTGGAGAAGACATCCCCCTATTTACTAGTTGAGTTAATTTAGTCAAGATCGGTTTAATCAATTCATTTCAACCATAAAATGACAAGCTTAAAATTTTTTAAATTTTAAATAAAACACATTGAAAGCTCACTTTTAACAAAGCAATTTTGATGATCAATCCCATTGCTTATCTTGACTAACCTATTGTTTTGCACCTTTTTACATTTCACCCTGAAATCGTATTTGCAAGATTTTTTTTCAAAATATACGGTAAATAAATTTAGAAAGCGATACGTATCACATGAGACAAGCCAGACATACTACAATGAACTTTTTGTTTATATGATACTCTAAAAATCAAACCATCGACCAATTTATTTGGTAATATTCAAAAGTCATATTTCAATTTCAAATCTCACGTTCATTCAATTAGTATGTACTGATCTATTAGAATTATGAAACTGATATTCATCTGACACATGCAAGATTTTCTATGATATTTAGCAGATTCAATTATTTAAATTTTGCACAATGCGTCTGCAAACATAAATTTCTCGCTGAGCATATGATTTTAAAATAGATATGACTAATTGTCTCTTTCAGGAAAAGTGTGCTCACTAACATTTGGTTATGATCATACTTTTTGCACGTCTCGAAATAAATTGATAGCTAATATTGTAATTTTCCACCAAAAATTCCCTTTATTTCCATCGTCGTTTGTCTGCTTTTCTAAGAAAAAATTTTAACATAAATTTCCATTTAATTATTTCTGATAATTTTAAAAATAAGATAAAAAATTCAGGAGCAAGTGTTGAAAAAAACTGAAAGATATTTAAACTTTATAGATATTACTAACCATGTCCATCACTTCTCATCTCTAACTTCCGTTGCTATTCTGTCCTGGAATTACACAGTGCATT